ACGCGCGAGGCAGACCTTGGCGAGCCGCGCCGATAACAGCCTTAATAGCCGCGCAAAACACAACACCATCGCACGAGCCTCGGTCCCGACAGACGCCGAGGGAGGGGAGAGGGCCCTGCACGCCGCTGAAGGGCCGCTCGGTCGGTAGGTCGGTCGGCCGAGCGGGCGGGGACGCTTTTTATGCGGTCATTCTCGGGTCATCACTTTTCTTTTTCTTTTTTTTTCTCCACTCTCTCTTCTCCTTCAAAGGCACTCCCGATAACGGCGTGGCCGGCTTGCCACACGGAGCGATAACTGCTTCAAGAAGCAGGCTCGGGGCAGACAAGCAGGCAAGCAGGCAGGCACTCGGGCACCCACACTATCGCACACGCTGGAGGGCCCGCGCACTTGGGCATAAGCGGCAGGGTACGGCCGCCGCAGTGGCGTGGTGGCACTGTGACGGAGAGGTGCCCAGGCAACACTGAGCGGCTCTCTCCCGTCTCTACCCACGATGGGGGCACTGCCAACTTCCCCAGACGCCCTCCCGAACCCCCCCAACCCCTCTCCTTCCCTAAGTCCCCTCCCTCTCCCCTCCTCGCCTCTTCCTCCCTCCCTCCTCGCCTCTCCCTCCAAGCTCTCTCGCCCCTTATCTCCTTCCTCCCTCTACTCTTGCTTTTCCTTACACTCGTCGCCCATTACTCTCGTCTACGCTTACTCCCATCTTCTGATCCAACTCTCTCTCACTGCCTCTTTCTCTTACTCATCTCCATTCACTTCCTACGCTCCTTTCTTGTGATCATTTGCCCTTATCGCGTGTCTCACCTCTCCTACCATTTACTGTCTCTCTGTATTTCTTTACTTATCAGTCTCTCTTCTTCCTTCCTATTTCCATGTGCTAATTTATGCACCGTTCTTAATTCCACTTTGCATTGTTATTGTTTTTTTCTTCGCGCTCTTCTTTATTATAATTCCCATTATCTTATCTCTCTTACCTCTCTTCCCTTTATCTCCTATTCTTCACGTTTCTCTTCTTCCAACTCTCTCTTTCCTTCGTATCCTCTTTCGCTCTCTTACCCTCCTCTCTGCACACCCATTTCCTTCGTCCTTTTCATCCTCCCTCTTATCCCTCTCTCCTCTCCTCTCTCCCATTTCCAACCTTCCTTCTCTTTTCGCTCTTTACCTTTTAGCACTCTCCCTCGCTCCTCTTTTTAATAATCTTTTCCTCCTCCCCTTCTCCTCCCCTCATCACAACCTCCCCTTTTTCCCTAAATACAGTGAACCCTTCTCTTCATCAGCTTCAACCTCCCACCTTCCACCCCCCCCCCTTTTTCCCCTCATTAAAGCCTCTCTCCCCCCCCTTCCCCTTCCCCTCCCCCCCTTCCCCTACATGTACCCACCACCTCCCCTCATGTGGATATTAATCATTTTATCCCCTCTATCGATACCCTCATCATTTCTATAATCTATCACTCTACCCTCCCCTTACCCCTCAACTCCCTAACCCCCCCTTACCCTTAAACCCCCTCCCCTCCCTTTCACACATACTGTTCCCTTGCACATTAGAGAGAGAGAGAGAGAGAGAGAGAGAGAGAGAGAGAGAGAGAGAGAGAGAGAGAGAGAGAGAGAGAGAGAGAGAGAGAGAGAGAGAGAGAGAGAGAGAAGGAGAGAGGGAGAGAGAGAGAAAACTAATATGCGACATGGCAGGCTATAATGTGCTATTCATTATACTTATGTTGTTGATTTTCTGTAAACACACACATGTAGTTGGTAATATAAGAAACAGTCCCTAAATGAACACACATACGCACGCACATATACACTTACAAAAGATAAAGAGTGAGAGAGAGAGATATATACGTAGGTAAATACGTACATACACACATAAATAGAAAAAATAGTCAGACAGACAAACAGAGAGATAAATAAATAGGTGATTTATATACATATATACATACATACATACATACATACATATATACATATATATATATATATATATATATATATATATATATATATATATATATATATATATATATATAAGAGAGAGAGAGAGAGAGAGAGAGAGAGAGAGAGGAGAGAGAGGAGAGAGAGAGAGAGAGAGAGAGAGAGAGAGAGAGAGAGAGAGAGAGAGAGAGAGAGAGAGAGAGAGAGAAATAATACAAAATAACCAAAACTTTCGAAACGAAACCGTTCTTCTGGCATCATAAAAGTCTGGAGAAGATAATGCTTAAGTAAACAGCATTAAGTTACACAAACAAAAACAGAAGCATGAAAACAACCACAAAGTCCAAGGAGAGAAAATGAAAAAAAAAAGAGAGTGAAACCAAACGATCTCTTAAAAAATAAAGCAAAGAATACACCACGAAAACAATGACAACAAAAAATAATACAATTAAAACTATCCCGTACGAGAAAATCGGGACAAAAAGAAACAGACGAATCCCGACAAAAAGAGACAAAAGTAATTAAAAATAATAATAATCATCACTCGCCTTAAGTAGAATCCTTTACCTTTACAACCCGCACCTGTCGACCTTGGTAATCACCTAAAAATCACCTAAAGTTGTCTTAATTACCCCCAATTAACGCTCGCTTAATGTCTTGTTTTGCGGGAGTCATTAAGCCGCTTCTTTTATCATCAAAGATTCTTTAGTCTCATGTTTTTTTCTGCTAATCCTTCCCCGGCGGGTCATTCATTTCTCTCTTATTTACGCATTTATCACATTCTTTTGTTCCAGCCATTCCTAATTACCGTCCGTTCATAATATTCCCTTGGTTGATTTATTCAGTTATCAGTTGTTTGTTTGTTTGTTTATTTTATTCTGCAATCAACTGTGTGTGTGTGTGTGTGTGTGTGTGTGTGTGTGTGTGTGTGTGTGTGTGTGTGTGTGTGTGTGCGTGTGTGTGTGTGTGTGTGTGTGTGTGTGTGTGTGCGCGCGCGCGCGCGCGCGCATGCGCATATGCGTGTGGGTATACGTACATGCGTGTGCATATGCGTATGCGTACATGTGTGTGCATATGCGTATGCGTACATGTGTGTGCATATGCATATACGTGTGCATGAACATGTGTACGTGTATGTGTACCTACGTTGGCCTGTGTGCGTGTACTGCGCTGCCCCCTTTAAGCCAAACATTACCCCCCCCTAACAGCAAGTGAGCACCGCCGACTCTCTTGATGGTAATTCAGTCAATTCGACTTTTAAATCAAGTTCCTCCCAAGCCGCTGAAAAACCCGGGGATGAAAGAAAGCCCGACAATTCTACCTCCCGCCGCTCGTTAAGCCCTCCTCTACTTTATCTTTCTGCTCCTTCATCTACTTCTTTCTCTGCTTTATTTCTCTACTTTTTATTTCTCTTCTTGATCTTCGTGGTCTACTTTCTCTACTTTATCTTACTCCTCATTTATCTTTTTTTTTTTCTTTCTGCTTATCTTTATAATACTTTTTTCCCTCCTTTATCTCTCTGCTTATTTATCTACTTCTTTCCCTACTTTATTCTTTCTGCTTATTTATCTACTTTTATAGATTTCCTGATTATCTATCTCTGCCTTCTTTTCTCTGCTCATTTATTCATTTTTCTCGTTCTTATTTCCTGCTTCCCTTCTGCCCTATCTCGCCGTTTATTCACTTATCTATCTTTTTCTCCTTTATATTTCGGCATGTTTACATCCTTGTCTTTATCTATACTATCTTTGTGCTTAAATATTTACAGTCTTTTTTCGTCTTATCTATGCTTATCCATCTCTTTATCATCTTCAACTTTATATTTCTGCTTATTTATCCACTTGTCTTATTCTATCTCTCTGCCTAGTCGTCTGTTCATTTCGTTCTCTCTTTTATGTCTACTTGTCTATATACTTATCTATCTATCTACTTATCTATCCATCTAATTACCATAATCACCATCCTTGTCACTGCTATTTCATATTCTCGAAGTGTCTAGGATTAAATAAATCCTCTTAGAGCTCATATATTTTCTAGAATATATTACACCATCCCTCTTTCTCTCTCTCTCCCTTTGTCCCTCTCTCTCTTCCTTTCTCTCTCTCTCTCTCTCTCTCTCCCTTTCTCTCTCTCTCTCTCCCTTTGTCCCTCTCTCTTTCCCTTTCTCTCTCTCTCTCTCCCTTTGTCCCTCTCTCTCTCCCTTTGTCCCTCTCTCTCTCTTCCTTTTTCTCTCTCTCTCTCCTTCTCTTCTTTTTCCCTCCCCCTCCCCCTTGGTCCCCTTTCTCTCGCCCTCTCTCTCACACACCAGAATCTCTTTTCATCTTTTGTACCGATTTTTAAAAATTCTTTATATTTGTCTTTTATCTTATTATTTCTATGTTCTTACTTTTTTATGTTTCATATTCTTTTTTTACCTCTTTTCATCTCCAACAGCGTGAAGATTCGCTCGGCTAATCTTTCCTTTCCAGTCACTGATTCGCGATTCGCTTTTATTCATCTCCATCAAATGATAAATCGAGTAGCTTAATTAAATTCAAACACCGCTTTTCGTGTTCTCGTGTTGTCTATCTGTTACCAAGAGAAGAAAAATGAAAGTACACTGTAGGATACATCTGCTAATTATTTGAATATCAACTTTTTTTCTTTTTTTTGGGGGGGGAGGGGCTTTTCAGCAGTCTCTCAGCCTTTCTCTCTCTCTCTCTCTCTCTCTCTCTCTCTCTCTCTCTCTCTCTCTCTCTCTCTCTCTCTCTCTCTCTCTCTCTCTCTCTTTCGTCTTCCTTACCTCCCTCTCCTCTCTCTCTGTGTGTGTGTGTGTGTGTGTGTGTGTGTGTGTGTGTGTGTGTGTGTGTGTGTGTGTGTGTGTGTGTGTGTGTGTGTGTGTGTGTGTGTGTGTGTGTGTGCGTGCGTGCGTGCGTGTGTGGGGGGGGGGATTAGAGTGTGAGGCGTGAGAGTGTGAGGAGTAAGAGTGAGGTGAGTTTAGGGTGAGGGGGTATGGGTACGCAAAGCATAAAACACTGCCTGTCGTCCCTTCGCCCACGAGACGACGCGGAACTGTTATTAAGAACCTCTGGGGAAGGAGAAGGAAGGAGAGGGAGGGGAGGAAGGAAAGGGGGTATAGGAAGAGGCCGAGACACATATAGAGTGAGAGACAGAGAGATAGATAGATCGATATAGACATATAGATAGATAAATATATAGATAGATTGATAGACTGGTGAATATATATAGAGAGAGAAAGAGACAGAGAGAGAGAGAGAGAGAGAGAGAGAGAGAGAGAGAGAGAGAGAGAGAGAGAGAGAGAGAGAGAGAGAGAGAGAGAGAGAGAGAGAGAGAGAGAGAGAGAGGGAGAGGGAGAGAGAGGGAGAGAGAGGGAGAGAGAGGGGGGGGAGAGAGAGAGAGAGAGAGAGAGAGAGAGAGAGAGAG